AGTATGCTCAAAGGTGGCGTGAACTGGCTGCAAGGGTCCAGCCTCCTCTCTTGGATCGTGAATTGACTTATTTGTTCGTGGGCACCCTGCAAGACCTATATCTCCAACACATACTCGGTAGTATTTCGACCTCCTTTTCGGACTTGGTTACCATCGGGGAATGTATTGAAGATGGCCTCAAATCAGGAAAAATTCAAGGTACATCTAGCGCTATCAATGGAAGTAACAAGAAACCTTGCTTTGGACTTCTCAAGAAGAATGAAGGAGAGACTAGTGCTACTATCGACAAAGGGAAGGCCCTGGTCCATCATCAAGATCAAGCTCTGCACCGACAAATGTTGTTTGTTCATCCTAATGTTCCTCGAGCATGTGCTACAATATCGGCTCAATAACCTCGGGTGGCTCAGCATCAGTCAATCCATCATCAACAGCAATACACGCAGAGGCGATTGTATGTTCAACGAGCACGATCTGGGCCTTTTCAGCTGAATCAATAACCCCAGGGGAAATGAAAGCGAAAGAGGAAGAATTTTCTTGAAAGGAGAGTGCATCACATTCCCATGTCTTATGCTTAGCTTCTCCCTCAATTACTTTCCAATCAGTTGGTTCAATTGTGTGAACTTGGTCCAACGCCAAATCCTCTCCCACGGGGGTATGATGCCAGTGCTCATTGTGAATTTCATTCAGGGGCTCCAGGCCACACAATCGAGAATTGCAGGGCATTAAAAAACAACGTTCAAGACCTCCTTAATTCCAAAGTTATCACATTCACTCCAAAGGGTCTGATAATGGATTGAATCCACTTGCTGAGACAGGTGTCAAGACTACAAGAGAGTCTTCTCAAATGAGCCAAGCCTGAAGAAGTATCCTTAACATAGAAATTTCTAATTTCATTTGCATTATCATTTGTAACCTTTCTTGTTTTGTTCAGTGCCCATTGTATGCAAAATTGTTTGTCTTTTTATATTAAATCACCATGCATTGATTGTGTTTGTCTTGAACTAAACCATTTGTATTAACTCATTTATGTTTTGTTATTATACTTGATTTTGATGCTTAACTCTTTTTAAGAACAAAATAAATCTTGAGGGAGGATGATGAACATATGACACTTAGATTCTCAAGCGGTATGCTTTTAAATAAAACCCTGCTGACGATGTACATGCATTGTTTCAAATCCCCAAACACCGGAGTTATAAGGGAGATAGACCCTCGTCAACCCTTTGAGCCTTGAAGTAGGAATTTTCTTTTATGTAGAACAACCCTCAATTCTAACCTTGGGGCGGGTAAATTTTAGTTAATCTGATTGAGCATTCAAAACTTGTCAAGAGTGAGCCTCTAGGGATACAACAATGGTTATCCATCAAATGGTATGGGAAAGTCAAAACCATAATTACCAACCTTCACCTATCAGCAGCGTGCATCAAAGAGAATGATATCCCCATGGGTATCTCTTGCACAATCAGGAGATCAGCAGATGAAGATACCATAATAGTTATCCTCCATCTTTCCAGGACTCAGGCCACCACAACCATTTCCAATAAATCAAAGACGACGCAAAGATCAACGAATTATTCAAAAAGAAAGAGACAAAAATCCCCGTTAAGTCAAAACTTCAAAAGCAAGAGACTTGGGTAAAAGTCAGGGCACCCCATTGGACTGCAACTTCAAAATCAAAAATTGTCCAGGCAAAAATTATGGAAAACGAAAGGAAAAAATAATAATCCTCAGCAAAGAACAAGATCGAGTGATCAGACGCCAAGAAGTTAGTGATTGTCGGGTCCTAGAAACCCCTATGGTTCCTCAATCATCGCAAACTCTCTTCTCAGGAGATGAGTGCTCATATTGAGTTAAGTGAATGTAGGAATGGAGAACATCATGGAGAATGGGTGGGCACCAAATAATTTTGAGCCTTAAATCTTTTTTCTAAAACCATGAACCAGGCCACGTTACAACCCTTACAAGTCCTAATTGAAGCATGGGTTAATTCGAAAGCAATACTGTAGCGAGAATACGGTAACTTGACTCCCCAGAGATATGATAAATTTTGAGTTGGTAACACGCCACCTTTTTCATTAAAAAAAACGGATGCTTCGACATCTTTTCAATAAAAAATATTCAAAATTCAAGATAAGCATAAAATTTGCATTAGAATCATCATTCTTATACAAACATTCATTGCATATAAATAAGTGCTTGAACATCAAGTAATCTTGCGTGATGAGCATCAAATGAAAACCTGGTTATCTCGAAGGACAAATTACTACAGAAACTTGTCAAAAAAACAAAGAATGATCTTATTTTGGGGTATTCCCTCAAGCTTCCAATCAAAGACTATCATGTCGATAAATCTCTTCCAGCTTTTTCCAGTCAATCAGAGGCAATCATGTCGATAAATCTCTTTAAACTTCAAACTATGGAAATTAGGTTGAGTAACCTATTCATGATTTGTTCAACTTGGGGCAGTTATGTCGAGATTCGACAAATCTTTCCAAGAATCCTTGATCAAAGGCAGATATTGGGGCATGCCACTTTGTGTCTTATTATGACACGAATCTTCCAGCACTCAAACAGATCCTTTCAGACAGGGGCATTCCTCCTCCCCTCTTATGAAGCTGCTCAAGAAAATTCCTGTCATCCGTACAAATGCAATCAGGCTAAAAGTGTCATGAAGATCACTTTGGTTCAGTTAATGTCCTCGGAATCATCATCATTCCCTGCATTTGTTTAAACACACAATTTCACGACGATAAAGTGAACTTGGGGCATCTGAAGATACCCATGTCCATTCACCCATCCCTAAGTAGTTTGCGGTGTGGGAAAAGTCAGACCGAGCCATTTCCTCCCTGATAATAGAGAAAACTTGGGGCATTTGTTGAGATCCACGTCTCTACTCAGTCATTCATAAGGAGTCTAGCAGGTGAAGAAAGTCAGATCAAGCTACTCCTCCTCCGAAAGATTTAATCCCCAGTAAACTCGATAAGGCTAACTCGACTCTCTAAGTTTTCAAGCACCAATTTGTTTTGGGTATCTCAAGACAAAGGGAAATGGATCCCAATGAGCCTAACATTTGGAACTTTGCATACAATAATCATCACTGCATATTACACTACATCCTCAAACACATAGCATATATGTGGGTCATCGTGCCACACTTCAAATACATATGAAGCATGAGCCAGATTTAGTAACTTCCCCGAAAGCCCCAAATCAGTAAAAAATCCCAACAAAGAATATCATCCTCATAATTCCCAGTTAACATTTTTCATTACACTACCAACTAAAATAAGTTGTGGTGCCAATACATTGTACTCCCTAAATCTCAATACTCACATTATCTTTTTTAGGGTCGTAGATCGCTTGTAGGTCTTACCCTCGCGTTATCTTTTCTAGGGTCGTAGGTCACCTGTAGGTCTTACCCTTATGTTATCTTTTTCTAGGGTCGTAGGTCACCTGTAGGTCTTACCCTTATGTTATCTTTTTATAGGGTCGTAGGTCACTCGTAGGTCTTACCCTCATGTTATCTTTTATAGGGTCGTAGGTCACTCGTAGATCTTACCCTCATGTTATCTTTTATAGGGTCGTAGTTCACTCGTAGGTCTTGCCCTCACGTTATTTTTATAGGGTCGTAGGTCGCTCATAGGTCTTACCCTCACATTATCTTTTATAGGGTCGTAGGTCACTCGTAGGTCTTACCTCATGTTATCTTTTATAGGGTCGTAGGTCTTACCCTCACGTTATCTTTCTAGGGTCGTAGGTCTTATCCTCGTGTTATTTTTCTTGGGTCATAGATCATATGTCGATCTTTACCTATTGTCTTTACCTTTCTTTTTGGGTCGTGAATCCTACACGATAGATTCTCTGTCGTCATCGAGTTCTACCCATCGTCTTTAAGTTATCATTTTGTCAGTAATTCTAATTTCAGTCACCACGACATCACCAACCATATCTTTTCAAACACCTTACCATCCACTCCCTCGAGAACCTTGTATTGGCACCATTAGACCAGTACGAGCTACCATTATTCAACCATGTTTATCCATCGTGCCCAGTTTACCTGAAAACCAATTTTTCTTTCCCCTACAGACGTCACAAACAAATAACACTCACACCATCTCTCCAGGACAAATTTTGGGTCCTGGTATTTAATCATCTTCCACGTTGAACTTTCGAAAGGTTGACGCCAATCTCACCTTCAGGTTTAAGACAATTAAATAGGGGCAGCTGTCGTACCCCAAATTTGCCCTACCTTTTTTTTAATTTTATTTGGCTTTGAACTTTGCATCCCATTTGCATCATTTTCACTAAGTCATTTGTATATCCCGCATCTCATGGAATCAGACGCATTAGTTTGAGGTATTAGGGTTGTGCCCTCTTTATGTAAAATTTTGTTTTGAAGTTCTCTTATCAGCTAAAAGGGAAATTCATCTGGTTCTCAATTAGTGGATCTTGGGATGGATTTTTGAGGTATCATGGATTTCTTTCTCACCAAGTTACAAGGTTGTTTCTCGATCGAATTCATCAGAGCCTGGATTAGGGTTTATTTCCCTATTTGTTGGTCAAGATGCTAGGGTTTTGGATCCCTGGTTTTTGTGAAGATGTCTCTTTTTCCCGCCTCAAGGATAACTCAAGGTCAAGTACATTTGGTTAGGGATTTCATCTCCTCACATTTCTATTTTTCTTCTTAAGATCTCTAAGTCACCGAGTCGAGAGTTTGAAGTTTAAGTTGACGAATGCGGAATTTGGGCATAAGAAATAAGGTTGAAGGTTCATCATGATCAATGCATGCTTTATTGCTTCAGTTATAAGTTTCTTCGGTTTGGACATGATATGTAGATTGGGAATTGAAAGACAAGGTGCATGGTTACTTGAGATACAAGTTACTAAGGTCATATTTGATTTCTTAAATTTCATGTTACGAAGTGAGGAGTGTTGTTTAAACCATTCAAGTGGAAATTGCTATGTTTAATCAAGATTCAAGAGTTTGTTTGATTTCCAAACAATAAATTCGTCATTCATAAAATTCACTCAAGTTTTGTGTTCAAGTTACATTTCTGGACAATTTGCAAAAGGGATTACAAGTTTAATCACAAGTTACAATTGTTGTTTACAAAACAAAAAAAAGAAATAAATGTTTGTTTCTTCAAGTCTCTTTGCTTCATCTTCAAGCCACTCATCCACTCCTCACCGTGGCCTCTTCGTCTTTTAACCTTGCCTCGATCGTCCAATTCTCGTGTTCATGAAATAAGAAAAAAGGAGAAAGTTAGCGATAATCAACATGTGAAAAATTCCAAACAATTATTTGTTAAACAAGAAAGCTCATCATTAGGGTTTGCATTTGGAATCAGAATTTAAAAGGGGTTTGTTTTTATCATGGGTTATCTCCTCCTACTTTTGCAAATCACAAAACGCATGGGTTTTGGTTCACAAAAGGGAAAAGAAATGTGAAAATATTTTTAAACTGCTATACAACAAAACAAACTTTAAAAGCAAGCTCAAAACAACAAATATACGTAGGGCAAGGTTGCAAACAGCAACAAAAGTAGCACAAGCACAGAAACAGGGCAAGGCTGCCAAACAGCAGCTAATGTAACAGTAGATGCAAGCTGCCAAATAACAAGAAAAAAGGAAATAACAAACAGAAGCCCACGGCCAAGCAAAAAAAGCAGAAAAACAACAGCAACATAGCCCAAATCAATATGCACAACAACCTCAATAAACAGTAAGAAATAGCAGTAGAAAAAAATGTCCTACAGCAACCCAACTAGCCATAAACAGCAGTTGCGATCAAGGGCAGCAACATTGTTAAATTGTAGCAGGCCAGCAGACCAAACAAGCCAAACCTGCAGCAAAATATAAAAAGCAAGACAGCTAAACAAAAACTAGCAAGAGCAGCAGCTAGAAATTATATAGCAACAGAGCAGTAACAAATACAGTAAGCTAGCTGACAAAACCGTGTTCTATCACCATTTCCCTAAATTGCAAACCCTTCATAAATTTCATAAAGGAAAATAGTTTGCATCATTGAAAGATAAAACAGGAAAAGAGGTAGGGTTAGAGAGATGTCACCCTGTGCATAAGCCTGCCCCTAGCCTGCTGCAAAATAGTCAAAAACACTTGTTATACTGCTATGCTGTCAGCATAAACACCAAACAAAACAGGCCAAAATTTGCACCAAAATAGGCATAATTAGAACCTGCATTCTAAAGCCCAAAGTCAGCAGTACAACAACGTTCAAAAACCTCATTGATTCCCTCCAAATATCCACCCTTGTTTCATTATAAGAGGGGCCAGCAAAACCGAGAGGATAACATACTAACATCTAGCATACAAACCAAGCCAGAAAACCAACAAAAGGATCAGCCAGCACAAGAAAAACCGAGAAGAGGATAACGCTGAAAAAAGACCAACACTTAAAAGCCTCTGATAAAAAAAAACCAGTCCCCAAAAACTTTCCAAAACCTGTCCCACAAATCCATAACGAAACTTGCAAGCCTACCACGTTACCGCCTAACCAACAGTAGCAACTCTACAAACTCGCACAAAAGCACACAACATATCAACAATTGAAGCAAATAAGTAAAGAGATGGAGTAGAAGAACGAAAAAGAGTGAAGCAGATCGCATACTATCTCATCTCTGGTTTTCTGTGTATCTCAGTCTTGGATCCAGGTTCTATTTCTTTTGTGTTTCTTGCATAATCCGCATTTGATGAATATAATGATTTTGTCTCATGAATTTGTGGAATATGTGGCACTATAGTTGATATTGCTTGGGATCTGCACTTTGTTGTCGTTACCCGGAAAATCCTGCAAGCCATTATGATTGTTAAGTTAAAAAATCATCAGAAGCACATTATTATTATTATTGTTGAACAAAAATCAAGGAATAGAAAAAAAATTCAAAAACTTTATCACCTTTGATAAACAGATTTTAGCCCTATTGCAACATTACTGACTTTAGTTCTCCGCCCATCTAACCTCTTCCCAATCTTGAACCACCACAGTTATGCCTTCTCTTCCAATTCCTTCGCCTCTCCATTTATATCTCTATTCTCCACCAGACAAAAGAGGAGTACGCTTATACAAACATAATCCACTCCAAATCCGAAATCTCTCATGTTTCATCCCGCTAAAACTGTTTTGATTTAGGAAGTTTCGGTTTCCCTAACGTTTGTTTTTCCTTGATTTCTCCTCTTGCCAAATCACTTTTCACTATTGACGAAATAAATCGAAGCTTCCTGGGAACTTCTAAAGCCAGAAATCTTTGCTGTTGTTATGGATTTCTCCTCTTCCGGTAAACCTCTTTTTCCAGATTCTCAAGTTGCGGCACCCATGAAGCACGGCGATTCATGATGATGGTTCTTAAGCAGTTGCGATGATCAAGGAACTTTTATAGACTCAACCAGTTGTACAAAGATGATGGTGGTGTTACGAGAAAACAAGGGAAAGAAATTATGTTTGATTTTGTTTTTACGGTAGATATTAGAAAGCAGAGAGAGAGTTGAAGTTTTTGTTGGGAAAGTTGAAGTTTAAATTTTCACGGTACAGCTTAAGAGCATGTTTCAATCATAATAAAAAATTTTGCCTTCCCAATAACAATTGTAATTGAAATTTGTTTCTCTTCCCCATACACAATTCCCAGCGGCGCGTTTCTTTTGTCTAGGGTTCCTCAAGACCCTTCCTTGTTTCTTTCCTCCAACCGAGTCAGCCCATTGGGCTGTTGGCCCAATCCGCTAGAGATTTTCCCTTTTTCTTTTAATAAATCATGGATATAACTAATAAAAACTTGGTACAGCTGGCAGAGCATCTCACTATTAACCTTAAGGACCTGGGTTCAACCCCTGTTGGGACCTTTTTTTCATTTTTTTTAGTTCTTTAGGTCTTATCTCCCCATATTTTACTATACTTCTTAAGAAAAATATAATTTAATTCATTCATATAATTATATCATGAGAAAATACAAAAAAACATGCCTTTTATTAAATAAATCTTTCTCTTAATTTTGGTTATTTGCTCAATCTTTTATTTAATATCTTTTATCCAGTTTTTTGTTATTTATTTAACTTCATAAAAACAATAAAACATTTAGAATTTAAGTTTCTTTATTCATTTTCTAGTTCCAATATTGATTCCATATTCCCTTAGGTAACTCCATGAGGTGATTAAATCCCATTTTAATCGCTTTATGTCAAGTTACACTTTTAGCTCACCACTTATACATAACAAACAATTAGGTTTTTTTAGTCTCCCTCTTAACCTTCTCTTATTTTGTAATTAAAACTTATCATTCACAAATCAAAAATTCAAAAACACTTTAATCATTACTTGAATTTATTTTAAAATTCACAAAACACTCAACAAATCAAAACTTCCCCTAAAGGGTATGTTATCTCCGTTCTACCGTGATACCGACCGTGCTTATTGCTAGAATGTGTGTGTTAACATCGCCCACTAAAAAACAAAAACAAACCAACCATTTTCTAGAGGAACTACAGTGTTCTGATTCCTTCACTGGATACGTAGGCAAAGGGTCGTGAAACCCTCAGGAACGCAATAATAAAAAACCATTCATTTCTCCTTAAGCAAGTATAGTTGTAGATAAACACACCCTTAAAGACAAACAAACAAAATGGATCCCGTTGAGTATAACAGATGTGATGGGTGCTAATATGTTCCCCTTGCATAACCGACCCCCTTATCCTTTCTCTTGGTCGTAAGACCATCTTATCCATTCCCTTGTGGTTTTATCGATATTTCCCCTTCCTTCGGGATAAATAAAGTTTGGTGGCGTCTCTGTGTTTTCTGCTGGTAGATTTAATTGGGAATCTTTGTTATGTGTTGCTTTATTTCATTTGTTATGTATCTTTCATTTGACTTATGTTGGACCACACATATTGTGGAGTTTGATTTGTTGTTGAGGCTAGAATGCCATTGAACCGATTTAAGTTGATTTTCCACTACCGAATAAATATTTTGGATAAACAATAAAATAAAGTGTTTTGGAACTTTATTGATATTGGGATTATTTGACATCCCATTATGGACTCTGATGCATTCTTTTTCATGATTTTATATTATATTTATTAATTTGGGAAAATGGGGTGTTACAACCCTTCTGGCCATAAAAAACATGTGTTTCCTTCTTACCATTGAACATCTTCTTTACAGTACTCGATGATGCAATCACTTGAATCTTTCCACCCTTGATACCACCTTCAACTTGTTCCCCTGTTAGAATCAGTTCAGTAAAACCAGATGAGGGGCTTCCAATGATATGGTTAAGGAAAGGACATGTCAGAGTTCCCATGAACATATCAACCAGCTCCCTATCAGATAAAGGAGGTTGCACTCTTCCAGCCAGATCTCTCCACATTTGGGCATACTATTTAAACCCTTCATTCGAGCCCATAGTCATACTATGTAGTTGCACGCAAGTTTGTGCAAGGTCAACATTATATTGATACTGCTTGTAAAAAGCAGCAGCCGGGTCTTCCCAAGTGCGGATATTGGTTCCTTCCAGCTTATTTAACCATTCGAGTTGTGTCCCAAATAAGCTCTCTTGAAAGAAGTTAACCCATAACTTCTCTCAGCAGTATGGGGTTGGATCTTCCGAACATAGGACCTTAAATGCATTTTCGGACAAGACACACCATCATATTTAGCAAAAATGGGGATCTTGAATTTGTGAGGGATGACAACCCCCGAAATAAGACCTAGGTCTTCAAAATCCAGTCCAGGCACTTTCTGGATTTCCATGGCGTTCAGCCGATCTTCCAACTGTTTGTATTTGTTATCAGCGGGAGGATACTATTCATTAGAGTAGTCTTCATCATCTGGAATTTTACCAGAATTAAGGTTACTTCCCCCCTTAGCTTTTATACTTCTGCCATCTTCCTCCTGATTGTCGCCTTCATTTGAGGAGATAACATAGTTCTGAGCTTGTTAAGGAATGCCTTTGAATCTTCTTCCCATGTTGAAAATACCAATTGTTTTCCGAGTCTTCTTCTTCTTGGCAATGAGTTCCATCAACTCTTTCTTCCCCTTGGATAAGTTCAGGAGCGTTTCTTGGAATTGGGTGTTTTGTGCTTGAAGTTCTTTCACGGTCTGTTATAAAGCCATCTTTTACTAAATAAACTGCCAGAAGATGGGAAAACATGTATGGAAAAGTACACGTTATGTGATAACGTGCATGATATGTGGATGCAATGTTTTCAAGGATCTCGCAGGATAAACAAAAAGAAATGTTAGAAGTCAAATCTGGATGCAGCTTTAACTGAAGAACTTTGCGTCATTTGAACGTCCTTCTATGAGAATCAAGCTTACCATGTTAATTTGGTCCTAGCCTTCGACTCAAGATAACGTACTTTGGTTTTTTGTCGGCATCTGGTTAGAGGAAAATAAATCCTCTTGCTTTTTGCTAGATGTCTGGTTCATGATACTTTGACGACATTTGGTTAGAGGAAAATAAATCCTCTTGCCCCTTGCTAGACCTCTGGTTCATGATAACCTACATCACAGGCCCTTGAGATCCTTGAAATGGTCAGTGAAAATGATATGGCATGATGTCATGATGTTATGATGTCATGTTTGAAGAGATAACAAACATAAACAAAGCACACAAAAGTCTTAGGTTTAAGGCTTGCATGGGGTTCGTAGGTAAGTACCCTCTTAAAGTTAAGTTGGCTCAACCTATCCTAAGAATAGTAACCGGGTTCTAGGAGTCTCATATCATCGATCTTTCTCGCAGGTATTGTTTCAGCTATGCAACTGACTTGCCACCGAAATATCTTGAGAGTCGAATCTCAATGAGTCTAGCATCGAGTATCAACCAACTTTGGACTGCACCAAATTCGGCCATCTCACTACCTTCTAATGGATAAGTTGGGTCAATTAAGGTTCTAAAGGTCAGTTAGTTCTTATGACATCACGTGGTAGCCTATTATTCTCCCCGGCTGACTCGAGAGACACCAGTACAGACCAAAGTGTTGCACTAACATAGCCATCACTTCAACCATATCGGTCTATGTCGTACAGTTTCCATGATCTATAGCTACTTACCTAAGGTCCTCAGGTCAGGGTATAGGATCTTTGCAAGAAAATTAAACATAAGCAAACCCAAAAGTAGATAAAGCAAACAAATCAAACAAAGCAAATAAAGTGATCTAACTCTAAAGGTAACCCCTCTTTTTTAGTTCTCCCCAGCAGAGTCGCCAGTTCTATAATACGGTGGGAGAACTCACTTGTTTTTGCGTTTTATCGCAAATGTTGCGGATAGCAAGAGTCATCGTCGACTTTTATTTTATCCAATAAGGAAATGGTGAAAAGAACAGGAAATACCTTTGAGATTTTCTCGAGTTCAGGGGCTAGGTTATGAAAAGAGAAGGTGTTAGGACCCTTTTCATCTGTAGTTATCTATGGGATCTTAATTGCTAGCTCAATTAGTTTTGAAAATTGCTTCGTGTTGTGTATGTTTGAAAAGTATTTTTAAAATGCCAATTGTAAGGCAATACTTTGTAATGATTCTCGTTTCTGTTCGCGAGAATGCGTACAAAGTGTTTGAAAATATTTATTGAAATTTATCTATGTGAAATTTTTTTGTTTTGAAGAGATTTGTGAGCAAGCGATTAACAACTGTCTACCTACTCAAGGTCTTTATTGTACTTTTACTCCTCCTTTAGATAGTGCTACCCTACCACTAGTTAGTAGGAAGCCCTATCGTTGGATGTGAAGGGACAGGCGTGGGTCATCGTACAGTCATTGAAGGTAACTTGTAAAGATACTTTAGCAATTATCGTTTAAGGGACTAGATCATTTACCG